GCTGGATCCAGAATCATTTTTGCCACCGAGTACGTGCAGAAAATGTATAAAGAATGAAAAAGCGTTCAGATTTGATTTCTGGGCTCGATTTGTAAATGGTTTTGGGCAGGGGAGTGCGGCAGGTGGTGCAATTCTTAATGATTTGTGTGCCTGAGCTTGGCCTGAATGAGTATGAGTTTCAGTCCGAAGGCTTTCACTTTAAATTCGGCAGCAAATGGCAATCGATGGAGCAGAACACTGGGCTCCAAAATCAATATTTCATTTGACAGAATTATATAAGCAATAGTTACTGAGTGTAATAACATTTATATGTGCTCTCTCGCTTCTAAATACCAATAAATTAAACCGGATATGGGCCAAGATTATTTTTTCCAATTTATATAAAATAAATTTCAGTACTTATTCCCATAAATTATGCCGATAAATTAGTTTTAGTAATCGACGTAACCTAATATCCATTAAAATAGTCAAGCAATGAAGTAGCTTGGTGTAATGTCTTCCAGGAACAAGAAGCAAACTTCCAATTAGACTTTGATTCGCCCAAATAACTTCAGAACCATTCCACAAGAGCCTCAATTTTGGCATACATCCAAACGATTGCTCGGTTTCGTGGTCTTCGCCAGATATGCAAAATTTTCATAAATTCCACTGCCAGCAATGGATTTGTGGGCTCAGTGCTGAACATGATTTACGATTACTAAACTACTTAATGTTAATCAATTGTGCAGCAGATTCAGGACGACGATGAGCACAATTTGTTGGACAGATAATTGCTGCAGACACTTTCTGCAATCATTGCAAATGTTGCATGGTGACAGTGTTGCATGTGAATGCAAATCAAATCAATTCAACTGGGTAGATGGGGAAAACTTCGATGCCGAGGCATGGGCGCTATGGAAGTTGAGGCTCGCATATTTTTGGGTGCCTGCAAAAACCGCAAATTGCTATTAACGAAAATCTAATCATAACCGGAAATTAATTTGACAGGAATCTCATTAAATTCACAGCCATGCCAAAAGGACATATGGTAGCAGCTGCTGACGGGTCTGTGAATCCGATGCCAAGCCCGTTCCCACTTCCAATCCGCAATCCTCAATCCCCCTCCTCCATCTACGCCCATGCAATCCTAATTCAGCATCCGCAAATCCCCTTTCGCAAATCGTTTAAAGCTGCATTGCGTTGACATTGCAACTGCCTACCGAGCATTTGAGTAATGTGCGGGATTTCATTATAATATACAATTATTCCTGTGCATCATGATGTTCACACGTTCGCTCAGCGCGTGAATTGCCAGCATGACATTTAAAAACACTAATTAAACTTGTGTTATTATCTACGATTTGAGGATAAGTGCTCATTGCGAAATCTCCTTGTTAACTGATCGTAAATTCTTCCATTGCGACATCCTTTGAAATCGAACCCAGTTAATTAGGTTTTTGAATCGTGAAATGGCTGCTGGTTAATTACTAACACACCGCTCCGCATAACCATCTTGGTTATGTGTGCTCCGTGTTAATTCCCCCCAGTTTGTGCTGACTATGAGCAACTGCCTCTGCTTCTCCGGCGACTGGCTTCTGTAATTTATTTCTGATTTCGGGTTTGCGCCATGCGTGGCTGAGCATTAGAGGCGCTTGCACATTTTGCCAGCACATAAATTAACATAAAGAGGCGGCAAACTGCGAGGTGAAAGGGGCCCGGGGGCGTGGCAGAGTGGGCCTTATTAGGGGTACGGCGAATGGGGTACAGGGGGGATAACCCTCCAGGGAGGCCCTGCGGCGATTACGTGACATTGAACCAGAGCCAAAGTGGCCGATTCTGATGGTTTTCGTCTGCCGTTGCAGTAGTAGTTCTCAATCACAGACGACGAGTGTTCGAGTCACCGTCTAATTGGACAGGGGCGCCGACGAGGGGGGCACTTAATCCCTTCGTGACATCTGACAATTGCAATTTAGCCGGCGATCCATTGAGAGTCCAGAGTCTGGCCAGTCCGCTGGTCTATTGTCTCACGGGCGTGTTGTTTGCATTTCATTGTTGATTGGGCAAATACTAGGCAGCAACTAAAAATGCTTAGTTAAACAACGAGTTTATTTTTACAACTGCCAATGACTCATGTTTGTTGTAAGCTTCAAGCTGAGATGGGAAGTGCGCAGATTCCAATGAATATGATGTAGTTTTGAAGTACGCTGCTTCATTGCAAAGCTACCTCCTAGTTTAGAATATAAGTATTATTTATAAGCCGCAATAAACTTTGTAAATATTCGCCAATCAAATGCGAATTTTCGTTAAGCTGGCTTACAATTGCCAAAGCCAGAAAAACAAAGTCTCGTTTGCTTTTTATCCCATTAAAAATCGCAATCACGATACAGCGATAGAGGTTTCGGTTAAAATTGTATGGGTTTCCATTGAAAGTGATTAATCATCTGACTGCAGATGCAAAACAGTTGTTGCGATAGAAAACTAACAAGTTTCAGTGTCGCTTAAAATTGCAGCATCTTTTAAAATTCATACAGATCAAACTAAAGGCAAAGGAAAATTAAATTTAATTGTTTGATTTAAAACAAACCAAAGGACGTTGCGGTAAAGCCGAAAAAACAAACAAAAATTGCCAAGCTGTTGATTTCATTTTCTACGAATTAATGTAAAACCAAAGTGACAAGGCCAATACAAAAACTGCTCGGTATAATAAACCAATTACATTTGGCAGCTCAAATTCCAAAAAAATATATTTTAATTTATATGTAGACAGTCGACGCTGTTGTTTTTATTTAATTTACAATTCATGTGAACAAAGTTCAATTTATTTGGTTTCTTCGCCCTCAAGTCACCGCAAAAGTTCAAAATTCCAAGGCAATAAGTTAAGTCACTTTTAATTAAAACCCCAAGATGTACGCATTTTGTTTAGTTCGGAAAATGTTAGTGTTTTCTACTCAAATGATTTGGTTATTCAATCGGCTTTGTTTCTGCTTTAATATAATATTGTCTGACCTGTTAAATTTCTAAGAGCAACTGATAATATTTGTACATTATTTCTGTTATCAGTGCGTAGTTTAGTTTTAATTGAATTATAATTAAGCGATCGCAGAATAAAACAGAGCAACACATAATTTAAATATTCTTGTATAATAAGTAAAAGTATTATCGGTTGATTAGGTTCTGGAATTAAGCCTCAATTAAATGACGCTTTCTCGGTGTCGCCACAAATTTTCCATAATCAGCTAAGCAGTGAATATTTACAGTTTATAACAATTGCAACTGATTTAGTCCAGACACAAAATGTTAATTATCCGACTATACATCATGCAATTTAACCGAAACATTTGTATGGGTTTGAAAATTAACTTCAATTTGCATAAATAAATATCCGTCTAAATTAAACAAATTGCCGGTCTATTCAGCAGCAAATGCCAACAATGGAAAATAAAAGTAATAATTCACCAATAATTTTCATAATTGTTTTGAGTTTTATTACTCCACAAATAGTTCCACGTACGAGCAGCAAGAATACAAAAAAAGTGATTTATGTGAACATGCAATTGCAATTTGTTCTGGGGCAGAGAAAGACATTCCTTGGAAAAAGGCCTTAAACGCGAATTATGGCCACAATTAACCCAATTCTTTTGGCCATGGGACACTGACATGGAGCGCTCACATAAAAACCAAATTAAGAAAAATAAGAAAACGAAACAAGCAGAGAAAAGTGCTCAAGAATTTCACTTGCAATCAGCCAGAGAAATGGGATGACTTGAGTGTCAGTTCATTCAACCGATTCTGAGTTGTTTGCAAGTGTAACAATATAATATTTTATATTAATTTAAATTTTAAGTATATAATCAAAAACCAATTAACTTGCAGACAAATCCCATATTTCACATTTATAGTGATTCATTTGGCTACGTAAATTATTTTAATTGAGTATGATTTTATTCTAAGCATGTTCAGGTCGCAAAACATTGAATAATTAAATGGAGAATAAGATATTCAAGCGGTAATAAACTGGCTTATATGCATTATTGTTAGAGTAACTACTATTTGCAAAACCAACTTATATATGTATTTTGAAACAACAAGTAACATTGCCGGCATGTTCTCTCATCAATTTGCGACATATTTCACTGCAATTTGAAGCACTCACTGCAAAGATGATTCTCAAGCAACATTTACCGAAAAATTGGGATTTCCGAGTGTTGCATAAAATCTGTATATTCCTTGCAAATGATTTCGACTGCACCGAATTTGACAACTTCAAGTGGCTGTGGCAGCTGCCAACCCGCTGCCACGCCCACTCCCACCGCCCGCCCATCATCTGCGACTCGCTGGCAGCTTCTTCAGCAATTTATGCATTCAAGTGGCAGCCAAAGGCAGCGAACAGCGAACAGCAAACAGCAAACGCTGATGATGACAATAAAGGACGCTGAATCCGTGATGCTGCCGAGCATTCCTGATATTTTGCCATTTGTAGTTACTTGTGTATGTATCTGCAAGATGCATTTGGCTGATTGTCAAGTGCCTGGCTTTGTTATCAGCATGCTGACATCATTATCTGGCAAAGGAAACGACTTTATACTTCACTCCGCTACACAGTGGAGAGTGGAATTAAAACCTTTCTCGAATCGTTCAGATTGTACTTACTGACAAGCGCTGTTAATTACGCATTCTGTGTGTAAGTATTTATAGATTCTGTAGTAAATAACACAGTTATTTAAATTCCAATCTTTTTTTCAACTGCTTAAAAGTAATCTTTCAGGTTCCACCAGAAAATTCCAGATCGACAAAGAATAATGGGTTTTCCCAGCTCTTATCAATTTTCTTTCTTTATGATGTCAAAAGGTTCTCGATGCTTTATAATAACTTATTTTTCACTCAGAAATGAGAAAGGAATGTGGCGGGAATATAACATATAACATATGTGCACATTGGATATTGGTTAGTTTTTATAGCTCACTATGGAGTGCATCGAAACTGGACCTTAACAACTGGATGGATTTAAGCCTTTCACTTACCTGGCAAGGTGAAAACTCCGCTAAGGGCCAGCACGGTCATCAGCAAACCGAACAACAGCTTCATTTTGTTTAGTTCTCGTTGCTCACAGCTAATAATTTGTTTAATTTGTATAGTTTATTTAGGGCTGAAAGCTTTGAAGCGTTGATGTGGACCGGCAACCGGATTCGATTCTGTTCTGTTCTGTGCGGAAAGACAAACAATCGTCAAATGCGCTTAAATGATTTGAGGAAGCGGCAAATAAACGGCGGGCGGTCGAGTGAGTGAGTGAGAAACCGAGTGAGTGACTAGCTGACCGCTCTCTCGCTCTCCCTCTCACTCAATTAGTCGCTGCTTTTATAAATATTCCGAATGGCAGACAAGTGTTGTGGGATGAGCGCTTCACTGTGCCCCTCCACTGGGTGCAATATTCGCGGACTCCACTGTACTCAATGCAGCGTATAAGTAATATTCGTTCATTCTACCTTTAGCCATCAAAAAGCACCCTAAACTTATTTCTTGAAAGTAAAAAAATGATTTACATTTCCAAAAGGAGTTAGGAAGAGGTTTCATAAATAATATATACACTTTTCTTGATCTTTTTGATTGAAAGGGTGTTTGGAAGTCGCCGTTGATCACTGAACCTTCGTACATTAAGTTGTGTTTTCAATTTACTTAATCAGTTTTTGTCTATGCTTCGTTAACTGCACGCGGGCTTCTCTATTCCACTATATTTTTATTTCAGACTTTAAATGTGTCCCTGTCACAGTTGCTGAATGTTTCGTTCGCAATTCGTAATTCAATTCGACTTCGATTGCATTGAGTCTATTCGACGACGTGTAGAGTTCAAGGTGCTAGTTTCTGAAAACAAAGGCATCATTTGCTTATTCGCGAATAGGGCATCTATCGAGAATTTTCTTCCAAGGAAATGAAAACGGAGCTAAAGACTTAACTAAGGGGCTGTTCTCAGTAATTAAATGGTTATGATTGAGTGCTTCTTGTTAATTCCTCCCATAAAATAGTCACGTCTTGATTGGGCCGGGCCTAATCACGATTTTACTAACGAGTATGCCAAAGATCGGCAATTTATTGGGAATCTGTAGTGTTAGTTCGATTAGGAATGATCTTTTTGACATAACACCCAATTAAAAGTCTGATATAAGCTGAACCCTAAATGTATTCAACTTTCAGTGATATCAAGAGATATTGCCGATAAAAGTTTAATTATACGCTGATTTACAACCAGAATGGAATATTACTTAAACGTTTACTCGAAATATACAAAATTTTAATCTCTTGCACGAAAATAAATGCTTCAAGGTCTTTAAGAATAGCAACTATAAACTTTTAATGGCATTTTTTTGTCTGATAGTTTTAGAAAGCCTTTGTTTATGTTGGGCTCAGCATAAAAGTAAGCACAAGTAAATATTTCGCAAAGCAACTGCGTAAAGTAAATTAGGGGTCCAAATCATTGCCCAGACAGCCTAAACAAGCATCAAATTGTTTGTTTATAAACATTTTTGTCAGCGCCGAAGCGGAAATTGTTCACGCACACAATTCCATGCACATTCACATTCACATGCCGACACCCGCGAATTTGCATAAACTTTATTATTGTTACCGGTGTCATACAGTTATTTCTGTGGCTCGCTTGAATCACTCGATTTCGAAAGGTCGGAGAAGAACGCGCGATCTTCAGCGTGCGTCGGCTTTAATGGAACGTTTCGGACTAAACGGTTGCGTACGATTTCGGCTTCATTTATACCAGCTCACGTCGCTGGCACTCAGAAGAGAGTGGAGGGGAGAGAGTGGGAAAGGGGAGACGCTGAGAAGAATCCGAGAGAAGAAGTGCCTCCGAGTGCTCCCATGTACATTTGACATTTTTTAAATTATACACTTTTACATTATATTTGTTCTCTAGTCTAAGGATCAGTCTCCAGGATCAGATCCATTATTTTTCACAACAGATCCCATGCCAAAGGTGCCCCAGCTGTTTACCCAACTCTTGGAAGGTGCAGAAATTAAACAAAAAGGTGCATTCATTGACACGTCAGTGGGAGCAAAAGTGAATGTCGCCAGCGGAACGCGAGTGTCCTCCAGTGGCAATCCCTTGACCAAAACCGTTGCAGTTCGAGGTGTATAAAATCAGAAATCAGAAATTCAAAGCGGATAGCCGACAGCGCCGGCGAAAGAGGCGAACGATGGGAAGGAGACAGAGGATGGAAAAGAGGTGGACATATAGATAGCGACAAGGAACGCGCGCCAAGCGACGTTCTTGGATTGACAATGAAATCCACCTGCCCCCTTTTACCTGAACTCCACCATTGGGATTCGGGTGTTCCCTTATAGTTCTCGACCAGATTGAAATCTCGATCGGCGCAGCTACAGCTGCTGAAATCTTCTGTAGGCTGCTCTTCGTTTTCTACAACTTGTAATTCTTGTGGTGGTCCCACGAACCGGATTCTGTTTTAACAACACTTTCGTTGGTTTTGTTCGGACTGCTATTTTCGTTTTACTAAATACAGGTTTGATTGCACTATGCCTTTAACTGGCAGAGGAGCATTTAAAATAAATTACCTTTTTCGGTTAATTGCTGACACAACATTCTTGCGGTCGAGCCAATAAATTCCCCAAAAAAACAAGATTTGGTTGTCAAGGCTCCGAAGTGAGAAGAATTTGAGTCAGTTTTGTCTCACATAAATATATGCAAGTATCACCCAGTTTTCTAAAAAGATGCTTATCTTTTACGACCACAGGTACTAGTATAAAATGTACTTCTTTTGAAATAAAACAATTAAAATGAAATGATATTTAAGTTAATATCGTGGAAAGCGACATCAGTATATGATTTATTTATATATATTAAATGTGTTTATTTTTCTTGAGCATGTGCAACCTCTTAATTAGTCATAAGTCTTTCCAATTTAAATTTAGACACCGCAGGACAGACACTCACAGATTATAACAAAACGTGCTCTTGACCTTGACACCGTAGGAAACAAACACATTCTTACAAATGAAGTACCAATATTCACGTATTTATTTTAGGATTGTATATTTTAAGAAATTTTTAAATTTCTTTGATAAACTTTATTCTTGCGCCATCTATGTACTTTCGGAAGGAGCTGACACTAGCGCCACCTAGCGCACTGCTGCTGTTCCTAACATTTCTGTAAGTTGTACAGAGCCATTGTGATTCAAAGTTGCCAGATGGATTTTATCGTTGCCTTAGTAACGGTTTTCACTTGATTTTATTGTCGAAACAAAATAAATACAAAGGAATAGGCAAAACAAAATAAAAATGTTTCGTCGTGGAAAGCTATCCTTCTTAAACACCAAAGATGACCGAGTTAAAATAATAAACGAACGTATAAACATTACAGAACGGCATCTAATGGAGATGTGTTCTTCGTTTGCTTTGCTAACGCGCAAAATGGCCAAGTGAGTTCGGTAAATTATTAAATCGGAATGGATAATCATAATCCCTTGCAGATATCGGGACTCCTTTGATGAGTTGGCCAAGAGTGTGAAGAGTTACGCCGACGACGAGGAAATCAACGAGAGTCTTTGCCAGGGACTGAAGAGCTTCACCAATGCGGTCACCATAATGGGTGATTACATGGACATCAATGTGCACCGGTTGGAACACAAGGTAGGTTAACCCTTCTGAAACTGCATTCTTATATTACATATACCATGTTACTTACCACGCTTAGATTGTCAATGAGTTGGCCCAGTTCGAACAGCTTTGCAAGTCCACAAGGGACAATCTTCGTCTGGCTGTCATTGCACGGGATAAGGAGGTTCTACGCCAACGCCAGATGCTTGAGCTCAAGTCAAAGTTTTCTGCGAACAATGTAGGTAAAGGTATTAAAAAGGATAAGTACTTATATAATTCCAAAACATACCCTAGAGTGCCGCCGATTCGGAGCTGTTTAAGGCCAAAATGGAGGTGCAGCGCACAAACAAAGAGATAGACGACATTATTGGAAACTTCGAGCAGCGGAAGTTGCGCGATGTGAAGCAGATTATCAGCGATTTTATACTAATCTCCATGAAGCAGCACACCAAGGCTTTGGAGATCCTCAGTGCAAGCTACTATGATATTGGAACCATTGATGAGCGCGACGATTTCCTAGAGTTTCAGAAACTGATGAAGTCCAAGGAAGAGCCCACTGCCCGCAAAACTGCCCTCAAAAAGGGACTGCGCTCGCAGTCGATGGACAGCTTGGAGCACGAGCACCTGGTCAGTCCGCTGAAGAGGCGCCAGAAGCTATCCAGAAGCACCAAGAATCTGGCCGGAGCCGGAATCAATCATGGGAGTAAAACAGAACCCGAAGATGAAACCGACGATCAGGATGAAGAGGAGGATGATGAAGATGAGGTAAGATTTGGCACGTTATTGGATGATTGTTCCATAAGAATAATTTAATTACGGTGCCTCCCCAGGAAACCGAGCAAAGTGGCGATGAGGAAGAGGAATCTGGGTCTGCAACGGATGACGAGAGGGAGCCCACGCAGCCGAGCATTCAGGTCACTCCTCGCGAGAATGTGTTTGGGGCAAAGATCCGATCTGCTAGCAAGGATATCGCTACACCATCGACCAGCGCCAGTGCCACGTCTGCTTCTACGAAACCCAGCAGACAAACGGTCAAACATCCTTTCAAGGCGGTGGCCTCCACCCATGTAAGGCTGCAGAAGCAGTTCCACGTGCCCCAGCACTAGCACTCAAATTATAGCCAGCAGTAGAGCTCCTAGAGGTCACATCAGTATTGCAGACTCATTATGGAATCATAGCAAGAGCTTAAATAAAATTAAATTAGGAACATATTTATAATGGAGTATCTTACTTGATTTGTTTAACCTCGCAGAAGCTTTTCTATCTTTGCATTCAGAATGTATTTTCACTCACTATCTCACATTTTAGACAGTTGGCTTACAAAATCAAGGCGAACCATTGCAGTTATTAGAAAATCATTCTGGTTCACGAATCAATGTTGTTTTTCCTTTTAAAATTCCATATTATGCAGAGCACTCCCAGCTGATTTGCATACACTTTTAATGGACACGGCTCACGATTTGCATTATTTGCCCCAGATAAACAATAATAAATATATGCATATCATAACTAATCAAGCGGAAACGACGCGCTTCTCTTCCCCTTTCCGCAATAACCTTTCAGGTGAGGAAGCACAAATCGGGAACTGGTCGCCTGGTAACCGTTGTTAAATCGAAGTCCTGAACACCCAAATACCAGGGAATTTACAATTCTCGAATTTTTAATTTATAAATATAAACTAAACGGCAATAATTCAAAATTATTGACCATTGCTCACAAATGAATTACTTTACTTAAATTATGATGTACCCCGAGCGGGCGAAACCTAAAACTATGCAAAAAATGGATGAGCAAATGTGTTTTTTGGAGCAGCTGGGTGCGGAGGGGATTAAGTGAATGTGAGAGCCCGGAATTGTAAACTTGATACGGGTGACTGGGTGCCAGGTGTTCGATGTACGTATGTATGTATGTATCTAATGGTATTGGGATGCAGTTTCCGGATGGGCGTGGCTGGACCAGCGCTACGGATCTCATTTCTCCGGGCCCTGACCCTCGATCCCGGCCTGGTTCATCAGGTCCGCAATGCTCTTCTCCAGATCGTCGATGCGGTTGCCCATGTCATCGATGCGCGTTATTATCTGGTCCGACATCGTCTGGAACTTGTCCTGAACGTTCTGCAACAGATTTTGTACCTGATAACAGGAGGCGGGTTTACTGGGTGCTCATTTCGGGTCTCTATTTGCTGGGTGGCACCCGGATCGGGCATTACTCACGTATATGGTCAGCTCCTGCATGTTCTTGGGGTCCGCATTGCTGTTCAGGGAGTAGTTCTGGTCCAGATCGCTGTCCATCTCGTTGCGCAGATCGGTCATTCTGTGGCTTCTTTGTGGCGCTGTATAAAAGTACAAAATTCCAATCGCTTCTAGCTGTTTTGCTTCTGTTTGCGACTGCGGCTGTTTCACTTCTGCAAATTTATTTCTTTATCAAGCATAGGGGCGGACTTTTGTTCGATAGTACTTTCGATAATCCTAGGGATGCCAAAATAGCTCTTCTCTAGAAATTTTCCAACCATACAATAGTGCAGGCTATATTTACATTAATTTGATTATTTTTAGTCTTTAAAGTATTCAAATAAATATTGAGGCACATATTTAATCAATAACATTTAATATAACTATATTTGTATATTACAAAGAAACAAAGCTGTGAATACTGATCATTAATTAAAAGAAAGTACACATTGTAAATTTTTAAATTAAATTTTAAAAATCTGATATCGTTTATGAACATTTCTTATAGAAATATAAAAGGTTGTACGTATTTAGCTATTGACCTGTAGATTTAGCTATAAAGCTTAAAAGCTATGTACATAGCCGACATTCGTTATTCAACACTGCCCCACGTGTATTTTTTTTTCTCATCCAAATGGAAGTGGACGAGGAAAATCCGCAGGTTGTTAAAGAAAAACAGGATAATTAAACCATAAGAGCTTACCATTCCATTTGCAGATTATTGCGGAGAACCCCAATAGAAGCGTTATACGCGAGCGCAATGCAGAGATCGTCTCCGGCGGCAATGTATTCTACAATCCCGTCCAGGAATTCAATCGAGATCTGAGCATCGCAGTTCTGAATGTTTACCGCCAGAGATTGACGAAGGAGCGGAGCGAAAAGGCGCTAAAGAAGCAGCGGAAAAAGGTCAAGGAGGAGGAGGATGAGAAGCCCACTCCCCTCCCCGAGGATCCTCCTGTCTATGAGGCCGGTACTCGCTATGAGGATGGGCTTCGGATCCTGGAGGCACTGGCAGCCACCGGCTTGCGTAGCATACGATACGCACAGGAAATTGCTGGAGTGCGCCAGATCGTGGCCAACGATCTCTCCCGCCAGGCAGTGGACTCCATCAGCACGAATATCCGGCACAATAAAGTGGAGCAGTTGATCGAGCCCAGTCACTCGGATGCCATGTAAGTTGATAAATAACACAACTGTGTTATAGGATACTAAATTTAAACATATCGCACAGGACCCTCATGTATCTTTCGACTCACCACGAGAAGCGCTTTGATGCAGTGGACTTGGATCCGTACGGGTGTCCTAACCGATTTTTGGATGGTGCTATGCAGTGCCTAGTTGACGGTGGTCTGCTCCTGGTGACAGCCACCGACATGGCCGTGCTGGCCGGAAATGCTCCGGAAGCTTGCTATGTGAAATACGGATCAGTTCCGCTGCGGATGAAGTGCTGTCACGAGATGGCATTGCGCATTCTGCTGCACTGCATCGAGAGCCACGCGAACAGGTACGGAAAGTACATTGAACCACTACTGAGCATATCAGCGGACTTCTACATCCGGATATTTGTGCGAGTGTACGTTGGTCAGGCCCAATGCAAGCTGTCGATGAGCAAGCAGTCTTGGATATACCAATGCACCGGATGTGAGACCTTTACGCTGCAACCCTTGGGTATAACCAAGCCCAATCCCACGGCGGGTAATCCCCAGCAGCTGAAGTACGGAATTCCCACTGGCCCGGCGGTCAACTCGCAATGCGAGCATTGCGGTCACAGGCATCATCTGGGTGGACCCATCTGGTCGGCTCCGATTCATAGCCCTGAGTTCGTGCAGGATCTGTTGACGGCCGTGCAGAAGTCAACCTTGCAATCGCTGGGAACCCAGAGGAGAATCGTAGGAGTTCTTTCCATGGTCCAAGAAGAGCTGCAAGATGTTCCCCTTTACTACACGCCGGACAAGCTATGCTGTGTACTCAAGCTGGAAATCGTGCCCATGCTGAAGTTCCGGTCTGCTATTCTCCACGCTGGCTATCGAGTCTCATACTCGCATGCCTCGAAGAACTCATTGAAAACCAATGCACCACCAGCGGTGCTATGGGACATTCTGCGCAGCTGGAGCAAGCGACATCCGGTAAATCCCGAAAGGATGATTCCTGGGACTCCACTGGCGGCCATACTTTCGAAGGAATGCACTGCTGTCTATGAGTTCGATGAACTCCATCCGGAGGCGAACCCGAAGAGCCGCAAATCGGCATTATCGCGCTTCCAAGAGAATCCCACCCCACACTGGGGACCGGGAACCAGAGCCACTATCATGTAAGCTAAGTAATCGAGCCATGCACGTTCGCACACTAAATTTCAACCCCTTTAGGATTGGCGACAATAAACTGCCCAAGAGCTACCGTAACCAGAACAAGAAACAGCGTCACAAAGCGTCGCAGCAACAGCCGGAGGACGACCATAAGGACAATCCACAAGCGGTGAAGGAAGAGAATGATGAAGATGTGGAGCACTTGCCAAAGCAGCCCAAGCTGGAGGCGACTGCGTGACGACTGCTTCTGTGTCCCAAATTTATTTCCAATAATGTTTGTAAAACCCAAAACGCAAAATGGTAGTTTTTCTGGGAAAGCAAACAGATTTGTGGAACTAATAGCGGAAAAAGTTGCCGTCGGAGGTCTGCCGCGAGAATCCATTGTTGACCAGCTGGTTGTGGACACCGCTGCAAATGAGCTTCACGCTGTGCGGATGAATCTTTTCCTTACAACCGCCTGCAAAAACATCATTAGTTTCAAAGTGGGTATTGTAATATTGCACAATGGGACAATAGCTTTAGCTTTGCCTCAACATTGTGACCTTACCAATGCGAAGTGGATGACCCAATATGTCCTCCTGCTTGCGCCGAATGAAGCGCGTATTGCGCAACACCCGAAATGATTTGATTTGGGAACCAACTTCCTTGGCCGCCCCAGGAGCTGACCAGCTACTTATGGCCCGGCACGTCTCCCGCTGCATCACGTAGTCCACCTTGCCCGGAAATGCTTCACGGGTATGATCGTACCGCGACTGCAGCGAAAAGTCCAGCGTATCCTTCGGGATGTTCGGATTGGCACGGTACCGCTTGCTCGAGCGCACCGAGTTCATCGTTTGATGATAGAAGAGCCGCTGATACGGCTCCAGATGGCCATGCCAGGTGCCCGGTTTCAGGTGGGCCTCTGGCAGCGGGGGCTCCGGAAAGGAGCACACATAGGTGCCCTCCGTATGCAGTTCGGGCTGCCTAAGAACACGCACTTTTCATCTATCTTGTAGCCGAGTTAGGAATAGCTAAGGCTTACCATGACACATTCTTAATCTGCACAGTATCGTACTGAATCATCTTTAAGGGAGCAAACAATCTAATTTAGAAGAAAGTGTAAAGGGGTTGGACGTGAACCTGAATCTGAATCGGCTTCAGAAGAACTCAGATTTGTGATTTTGCCTTCGGTTTCCCGGCAACAGTTTTGTCAATATACCACCCGACTACCATGTTGCTTGGGAGTCAATAGAAACCGAATCATATAAAGGATGGATGTTCTCAGCAACCCTATATTACTCGAAGATACTAACACAATCTTTACAATAGCTTGGGTGCACTAGTTAATATATTCTAAGATGTACAATGTACTGTAATGTTGGACCTTTCTTTGGGCATGTCTTGTTAAAACACATTCCAACCCATTAATAACATTAGTGGTTAAATTATAATCACGTAAAACTTTATTGAACCATTTAGTTAGGCTGGAAATGAAAATAGTTAGTTCGCTCACTCACCGAATTTACCAAGTCGTTAAGGGATCCTCCTCGAGTCAGTCCGCAGTCCAAGCTCCAGCATTCATCGCATTGTCGATGTGGCTCTGCTGGAAATGATGACTTTTCGCCTAAACTCAAAAGGGACGCCCACCAAGATACAGGAAAACACCAACAACGCCAACCAGCAACAAATCGCGAGATGAGACGAGACGAGAGAAGAAGTGACGGGAAACGGGAAACTATGAATGACTGCTGCTCCCAGCTCCCAAGCTGGACTCTCAAAATCTGGAGCTGTGGCAGCGCCAGCGGCTAACAGGAAACAGGAAGCTGCTACGGCTACGGCAACTGCAACTGCAGCATCAGCGGCACCAGCAACAGCATCATGCGATAGCAGCAGCATCAGCATCTGTAGCAGCAGCAGCAGCAACAAACAGGAGCCACGCGATGTCCGCTTCCGGGAGGAAGGAGTTGTAGCTTAGATGATGCGCTGCTGCTGGTCCTCAATCGCGAGCGATTTAACCACAATCTTATCTGAACCGCAACAACTGCCACACACCATTTGCCTGCATATATATAATAAACGTGTGGGAGAAGCTTGTTAATAAGTTTGTCGTTAAAAGGTACAAAGAACGGAAACGAGCAACACAAACGCAATCGAATGGAATCACAACGAAACAAACAGAGTCCTAGAGCAGTTCTATCACTCATCCTCCTCCTCTCTTTCTCCTCCTGTCCTGTCTGTCATTTGATATTTAGGTATTGAATTGAAGCCGTGTTAATTTGAGTTTATTATGTTCTGTTTCTGATTTTGTTCAAGGATTTCTACTACGCTCTACTTAGTATACGAAAGCCTAATGTGCAAGAACCGACATCGAGGGATCGCCCAGGTTGCGGGGATCTCGCTCGGAACATAATCATGCCTGATCTCTACTTTTTTACTCTGCCGAAACTTAAAATAGTTCGCTATAAATAGATGTGTAAAGTGTAAGACTGTATAATGGTTTGTATACCTGCTGTTCGGGTACAGCATGACACAGATCGAGCCACAGATCCGGAACAGGATACCAAATCCGGCCTAGTCAGCGAGTCATATCTGGAAGCAAAAGAAAAAGTCCCCATTTAACGTAATGTAATACTTAACATTTTTTTAAGCGTATCTTGATATGAACTCACCTCGCACTCCCACTAGTTGGAACGTTAAGTCGATATCTAGGAGCGACTGCGACTACGAGACGCAGCTGCGGCCAGTCCGCCAGATCCGCTCCCGATTCCATTGCGGCTGTCGCCGCGTACTGGACTGCGCGAAAACTTGGATCGACGTTCGGGCGAATGGCTACCAGGCGAGCGGGAACGAGAGTAGGAGCGGCGACGCGGACTGCGCGAACGGCGGCGCATTGGAGAGCGAGATCGTGAGCGACGACGTCCGCCGGATCCACCACCGCCTCCTCCTCCACGACGACCACTGGAACTGCGAGTGGGCGAAGAGGGGCGACCGTAGCGGGCCATCTGGACCCGGAGCTCCCTGCCGTCTAGCATGCGACCATCCATGGCCTCCAGTGCGTCCTCGGCATCCCGTTTGTCGTAGAAGCTGGAACATTAAACACATGATTCGATTAAATTAGATTCATGTGTATTTGCACTTAATTTTATTCAAATTGAAATCTTTATTCAATTGTGGGGCTTACGGTAAGTTGGCTAGCAGGGGTTTGGTAGGCAACTGTTGCACGTTTACACATTCAATCTAGCATATTTTGCTAAAGAAAATGTACAGACTAAAACCTGATACACATTCAACGGTGGCAAATAATGCTCATAATACGAGTAGATACTTTAATATATAAAAAATATCAAGAATAAGGGAACTTGTGTATACCTAATGTTTAGCATTATAGCTATTCTTCAGAACTTAATATCTAGATGTAGTATTCTCTGTACGTTGGCTAGTAAAAGTTGAGTAGGCAACGGTTGCAAGTGAACACATTCGATCTGGCACCCTTTCGCTACTGAAAGTGTACAGATTAGCAGCTGATACACAATCGATGATAGCAAATAATGCAAACTCTTAATGAAATGATAGGGGTATATGTATAAGTTCAAACAAGAGGTGTACTTATTACGACAGCTATAATCGAATGACATTTTAATGATCACCCCGGGATTTATGTGATTTCCTTGCATTACCTGTTTAGTTCAGGAAAGCAATGCCTTAATTTTCAATGAAACATTAAAAAGAAGATAGTGAAAGCGGAACTGAGGAGCGAATGTGTTGCATGATTTTCGAAGTATGCTCTCTAGATATACATAGTATGTATATATTTTTATACAATTTAAAATTAACCACCGGTGAGTGAAAGTAACGAATTAAGAAGAGACCTGCGGCTTTCACCAAATTCCCGGAAGAGATTTCCAAATGAATGCTTACCGAACAAAGGCGAATCCGCGGCTCTCACGTGTGTAGCGATCCCTGGGTATGTAGATGTCTCCCACCTCGCCGCATCGCTCGAAGACCCGACGCAGATCCTCCGGCGTGGTGCGATATGTGAGATTGTCAACCTGTGGGCATTAGTACACGCGGATTGATTTACATGTCTTTTAGAGGTTATCTAACCACACAACGTTGTCGGCCGGCCGCCATTTTGTGGGCTACTTGGTCGCGATTTCTTTTGCAGATACTTGCCTTAAGCGAGACCATTCCATCGATTCGTGGAGGTGGACGCGCCGCGCCCAATCCCCCGGCACCACCACCGTTGCTCATTGTTTATATGGGGACTTTTTTTACGGCTTATAATACACGAATACTAAAAGCGAGCTGAACTCCACACGAATTTTTCCTTTCTGTTAAAATGGCGTCAGGCACGACGTTAGAGCTGGAACAACATCGATTATTATTCGATGCCATTGATGTGCTTTTTCATACGATATGTCGATTAGAAATATATCGAAAAACCAAGGCTCACACTTATTCACTTTCTTTTTTTTTCGTTATTGTTAAAAGATTTGCCCCTTTTAGATTTTAGACCTTCAGGCAGCCTATACAATTATATATTGAGGAAGGTGAATTAGTAATTAAGTAATTATTATTAGACATAACGTAAACGGTTTTTACTTATTTGCAAAGATACATATTTCATATATATTAATATCTATGACATCTTATATAAACAATTATTCTCGACAGGGTTCTAGATGATAGATCCTGTGGGTTCACCTTTATAAATGCTCGTTTACTTTTGAGAACAGAAATCTTGTGAGTAAACTAACTATTCAAATTTTATTTAGTCTTAACAAATTCAATTATAAGGTACAAAATTCGAAATGAATATAAAAATGTTCAGAACAATTAACTAAACAATCTTACTAATAACATGATTAAATAAGTTAATACTATCGAACAGCAATAGTTTATTTTTGTTAAATTTTTCGATTTTTGTCCCCTATCAATTGGATCCCAGTGTACCCGTACCTATCGATGCACCGATAACACCGCATACAAGTGGCAACCCTGACTTGATGCGTGGCTTAAAACGTGTAAAAATAATAGAAGATTGCTAGTTCCGAGCACTGCATTTAGTGTTCAGGTAGTCGAATCGCACCTGTAGGTCTCCAGGTGGTCAACACTGCCCCAAACAGTCGACAGCCGAGAAAAGTAACGAGAATTCGAGTTTAAACAGAGTTGGCCAGGCTAGCAAACCTCAAACAACAAACACAACACCGACTCACAACAAAAGTGTAGACCACATTGAGTCGAAAGTCTGGCCTAAACCCCCCACAAGCCACCCCCCGGCTATTAACCATCGAGGCGTGCGTGTGTTTGTGACATTGCCATTGCCATTCCCAATTTCCATTTCCATTGGCAAACCCAAGAATTCCGAACGACCGCGTGTGTTCTGTGTGAGTGCGGGAGCAGCAAGAAGAAGAAGCCGTTAGAAGAAGGAGGGCGAAAGTGTGTCGTCGCGTGAAAAAAGCGAGAGAGATTTTCATCGGAGGAAACCACTGTGGAGGATTACGGACGCACTGCAACGATGGCCGCCCAGGAAAACACGGAGATCAGCACAAAGTTCTCCACGTTGAACGTGAACGCAGTGGAATTTGTGCCCAGTTTCAGTTACAACAGCGTTGTGAATGTAGCTGAGGAAGCGGCGGCGGTAGTGGTTGCAGCGGTCGTGGCGGAGGAGACGGCGGATCCGGGTCCCGCCTCAGGTTCAGCCACGCCAGCCACCACACCCGATTCCGTCGGCAGCGGGGGATCCACAGCGGGAGCAGCTCCACCGCCTTCAACTGCCCAAGGGGCGGGGGCAGCAGCAGCACCCTCAGAACAGCCGCCCACATCATCCTCCAATTCCGCATCGCCAGCGCCGGGTTCGCCAGCCACCACGCCTTCAGCAGGAGCAGCGGCGGCGGCTCCAACGCCCATCGATGGTCTCAACCCCTCGGACAAAATCGCAAACAATGGTAAATAGAGCTACTAGCCACCTAAATACCCCCTGCCAAATACACACGACCCACGACCATTGAACTCGCTTCCTCTGTGACGTCAACAAAGAAGCGTGTTATTGTTGCTACCTGCTGCTCGCTAGACCGCTGACAGAGACTCGCGAGTGGGGAAAGGGCTAGGGAAAACCCCAAAGATAGGTTGCATTCACCAGGTTCCGTTTAGGTTATTATCGCTGGCCCCAGCACATAACCTCAATCTGCGTCAGCGCTGCTGTTGTCGGCGTCGCATGTGTTGCTCGATTTCTATTCGATTTGCAGGCATT